CTTTGGCCTTTGGCCTTTGGCCTTTGCCTTTGCCTTTGCCTTTGCCTTTGCCTTTGCCTTTGCCTTTGCCTTTGCCTTTGCCTTTGCCTTTGCCTTTGCCTTTGCTTGGCTTGGCTTGGCTTGGCTTGGCTTTGCTTTGCTTTGCTAGGGGTTAGAGTTAGGAGGAGGTACCTCCCAACCCGCGCCGAGGCGCATCCCCATCCACCATTTTGGCAGAGGGGCTCAGCTGCGCAGCGGAGTTTCTAAACGAGCACCATGTACCCCGTGTGGGGGCGTCTGTGTGCTGGCAGAGGTGTGTGCCACTGTTCCGGCAAATCTGTGTGTACTGGGGGCTGCGTCAAAAACATGCCTGAATTACCGGCCCAGAAGAGGCTTACGCTCGTTGTGGGCACACCATTCTAGGAGAAAGGAAACGGAGGGTGCCCCGAGTACAAATTAGTAGGTGAGAAGACAGTAACCCTGTAGTAAGAGCGTCTCCACTTTTTGCGCGTGCTTCTTGTGTGGTTCACGGAAGCCGGGTCCCGGCTCTTGCAAAGGTAAACTCTTCAAAACTGTGTGGCCGCTGTCCTCGCTGGTCAAGTGCCCCTACTTCACCAGCAACTTGCGCTTGTCGAGCTTGATGCCCATCTTGATCACCTTTTGTGCCAGGCCTGACTTTGGAGCTGAAGTGTCCCGCTCAACCGTCCTCGTGTTTGCTGGTGCTCCGCGTACTCGAGGTGGCAGTGCTGGCTCTGCAACCTTGGTGTGTCCTGGAACCCACTCCGTCTCAGGTTTGGGTGGACGGTTCCCTGGTCCGGAGCTTCTCTGTCCTGCGGGTTGTTCCACTGTGTCCGCGGCCTTCTTTGCAGCGGGTGCCCTTTGTAGCAGGTGCCCTTTGTAGCAAGACTTTCTGGTCGTACTCCTCGATGGCCCTTCTCTGCACTATTGCCCTGGCGCGAATGGCAAGTTCTTCTTTTGGTACTCCGCTCCGTGCTGACGAGGACGCCGAAGAGGTACCCGGCGCGGCGGGGTCGGCCCCTGCACTGACGGGGTGGACTCCCTGGGACTTGGTTTTTCGTTCCGAGCTGGACTGCTTTGAACTTGGCTGCTGTTGGGTCCCTGCGGCCTTGGGTGTCTCGTCCTCCCCGAAGTCCATAATGTCCCAGAAAGCGGCATCTGACTCTTGTTCCCCACTGTCACGCGGGATGTACTTGGCGAGCTTCGGGGGTACCGGTGGTTGCGGTTTGCGCGCTGCCTTGCGCTTCTTTCCAGGCTGCCAGGCAATGTCGGGGACATGGGGACATCGACGTCACGAGCTTCGTCTTCGAGGTGGGTTTGTCCTATGTGGGCCGGCGCATGCACATGAGTCTGTTCTGGCTCGTGTTGTAGCATCACTAGCATGGGCTGGGCATTCAGTGGCAGCGCTCGGGCAGCACCAGCCTCTTCTGGGGTGAGTCCCCGGAGAACCATTGGCCTACGCGAGGAAGAAAAGGGGGCAGTTGTAGTAGCTGAAGGAGAGGTGGTCGTCGAGCATGTCGATGTTGCCGCACCCTGTCCCGGTAAAGGTGGGGGCACAAGTGCTGCCAGCGGGCTGGCGAAACCGCGGACTGGGTCTTGTTGTGGTGGTCGTTGGCGCCCAAGATGTGCATCAAGGGCTCCCGCATCGGGTCATCCTCAGCGAGATCTCCGCATATACTAGTGCCGGGGAGCTCCCCGGAGCCTCCAGCGTCCGGTTGTTGGCTTGGGTTTCCGTCTCGACGACAGCGTCGGTGGCGTCCACGGCTATGCTCACTGCATTCCCCTCCTCGGCGGCGTTGTCTCTGGCGGTCTCGGCGACTTTCACTGCGACCTTCGCGGTCCCCGCTGGCTCTTGTTTCTGAGTCCATGGCCGCAAAGACAAAGCCAAAGGATTTATTCACGGTGGAGATGCCCAAGTCACGAACCTGACAATCGGGTAACCGACGTTCGAGGTAGTCCCCCCGGTGAATCGGCTCGAGGAGAAGGGAGGCCTGTAGGGTCGCCGATCCGCTGGAAGGCGGTCAAAGTTCAGAAGGGATTGCACAGCTGCGGTCACCGAACAGGAACGATGCACACCGAGCTCGCCTTTAAGAGCGATGGGAAGGTACAGGGCGAAGATGCCGAAGTGCTCGAGCAGCAGGGCAGGACCTACCCTAGTCGGGCCACTTGAAGATAGATGTGGCGGGCGAAAGGCTCAAGTACCGCTGGGAAAGGCAGCGGGAGCTCCCCCAGGGTTTACAGCCCCGGGTTAACCGCGTGCCTCCCCCCCGATGCAAGGAGGTGGAACAGACCCCGAGCAAAGGTGCAGGACTTGAGCCAAAATGGCACGGTCTCTCTCTCTCTCTCTCTCTCGCTCTCTCCCTCTCCCCTTCTTTGCTTGTGCATGTCCGTGGGGAAGACTCCCTCTGTCTCCCGCGAAAAGGCTCTGAGCCAGCCACCTCCCCTGGTATTCACAAACGTAAGAGGGCTCGACCTTGCCGTTGTCGCAGCCGTCGCCCGCCTGGTCCGGATCAAGCTGCACGGATTGCGGCTCTCATTTGCCAGACCTGAATGGCCCAGAATCCCGCGCATCTTTCTGTCGGGTAGGCAAAGGTGCGCGTTGCCCATGCCCAGAAGATTTCGGGCTGTGAGTGTTGCATGCCATGGCTTTGCCGAGCGATCTGCCAGGGGGCACACTTTGGTCACCCGCACAACAGAACTTTGGCGTCATTCCGGTGCAGCGTCATCTCGGGGAGCCGCAGTGCTGTAAGCGCCGTACCCAAGCTGCCCTCCGGCAAACCTCCGAAGTAAAACAATGCCACCAACGGCTGGACATAAAGAATGCAGCAAACTCAAGATTTGAAGCTTGCCTCTCTCCAGTGCAAACGAGCTTCCCATGCCCCTCTCTTCGTATCGTACTCCGACAGAGAAGTCGATGCACATTACCTGCCAGCTTCCGTATGCGGACCCTCTGCAGCCATGCACTGGAGAACAGGCAAGACTTCTTCAGGTCTTGCCTTCCTCCTTGTCCCCAGCAAACTATTCGGCGAGTAGCCGGGAAACATGTCCTTGGAAAAAGCTTTGGAGCGAGACGAGATCTCGTGTATTGCGCAGTGCACGGTGCATCTCAAGGCCCTTGGCGAAGCTTGAAGCCATGAGTCGGCACCAGACGGCGCAAAGCCCTTCCTTGATACGAGCCGACACTGACATTCACTGTCCGCGTTTCGCCTTCCGTTGAAGACTTGCATCGAGGCACGGATACTTCTCGAAAACTTGAGGGCTCACCTCGTCCAGAAAGCGGCGCCAGTAGTGCCCGATTACCACCAGCCTTCGGGACGCCAGCATTGGAACCCTCCCGCTAATCAAGCGCAGCAGTCCTCAACTGCACAACACCTCCAAGCTCAGACTCAGGGACCTGTCATCCTTTGCCTCGTAAGATTCCCACCACCTGCAGGAGATTGGAAGGCTTTTCGGGCTTCGAGAATTCAAACCTTCACCTCAGGCGCTCCAGAGTCCGCATCTTGCCACCGGCGAAGAAGGGTTCGGCAGCCTTTCCTACGCATAGAGCTTCAGCTTCAAGCTCCAGTCACTCCAGTCTCGACGGCTTGGGCTGCACAACTAGGCGCCTAACTTTACGCTTTAGGCTTCCGGTTCCAATCGCAGGTTTGTGCTACAGGGTTCTAAGGTGTGCGGGTTGCAGCGGGGATGAAGCTTCAAACCGGTCAGGGATCTGCAGCTTCCGATGGTCCTTCATAGCCGGAGGACATGACCTTGATGGGGTTCAGATTCTGCTCGCGCATATCGATCTCATCTTGATCCGTGATACTCTCTGCCACTATTGCAGCCTGCAGATGCCACTAGTGCGGACGACATTAGACAAGTGGACCGCCCTTTCTGCGCACTGCTGAACACACATGTCCACCCGTCTGTCCGACCACCCTCCTGAATCTGCTTGTCGAAGAAATCATAGGCTCCAATGGCCTCTGCTTGCAAGACTACGGAAAGCGTCTTGAAACCAACGAATTCAGAACAGCTGGTAGAAGGGGAACCGCTAACTTGGGACGTGCCGCGTTTCCATCGAAGCTTCTCAGCTTCTCCGCTGACCTATAAGGCTAAAACGCGTAGGGAAAGGCCGAGGGCAGAAGGATGCCGAACGCTGCAAGACAACGCCATGCCAGGGCCCCGTCGCTTCGTCCCAAGCAGCATGCACCACAATAAGGTCCTAACAACGACAGCAAGAGGCAGACTTGCACCCATGTAAGGGGGAGAACTGCTGACAACTTCGGGTAGGGTTCCTAGAATAGCAGAGCACCGAAAGTAGAACAGAGGCATAGCGTACTTCTCGTGCAACATGCACGTGGTTGGAGCCCAAACTTGGGCCAAAACAAAAAGCAAACACTGGCAGTTGCAATTCCCGCGTGCTCCGGCCGACCCCTTCCACATGACAGTCACAATCCGTTTATCACTAACATGAGATGCCAGCGCCTTCCGCCAAAAGGGGCTCCCTCCAAAGGTGAAGGCGGGAGCTTTCGTCAAGAATGCCTTGTAACCAAGCAACGCAAGTAGCAAATCCAACCCAACAGATCCACAAACCAAACTTAGCAGTCGAACAGATGGCAAACAGAAGGAGACTGTATATTGAATGCGAAGCTCATGCGCATGATTTCGCCTAAAAAAGGGAAGGAAGATGAAGGAAGAAAGGAAGGAAGGATGGAGCAGTCCGGTCGTAAAGTCGGCAATGAACATTCTGGCCGGAAAGATGTCCGTCCTCCCGCTCCAAGGCCATGGGGAGGGTCAGGAAGAATTCGCGGACCTGTTCTCAGCGCGGCGGAATCGAGTCTGCTGTGTCTTCTACCCGGTCTCCTAGTTAATGCCTTCAGCCCTGAATCCGTCGAACTAAAGTCTTCACGAATGCAGCGTTGAATCTGGAGAATACCTTTGACATCTTCAAGGCTTACGTCCTCCAAGTGAGTTCAACCAGGACTTACACTTGCAACACGGGGGTCAGTCGCAAAACAAATGCTGTCTTGCGACCTTCCAAGCACCCGCAACTTCAGACATCAAACTTTGAAGAGCCCAAACCGAACCTGCAACTCCTGAAGCGCACAACCACTCAACCCTATGCTGCCCAAAAAATCCGATGGAATCCTGATGCACACCCTCCGTCAGCCGTTGAACCCTACAGTATTTAGGTCACGTGGCAAGCCTCGGATCGAAATGCTTCGTCTGCGAGGACTTGGAAGCTTTGCGCCGCCTTATCCTGTTGCAAACTTCCCAAAGCACCATAATTCCAATACTCCGAGATTCCAAGAAAAACAAACTTCCAAAATCCACAAACCCGCATGTCCAAAATTCCAAGTATCTCGACATATCTCGACATCAAAAAACCGCAATTCCACAAAGCCGCGCTTCCAGTATTCCAAAAGTTCAATACCAGCCACTGTAACTTCAATATAACATATACGTGTTCGACTGCAACACCTATAGCAACAGAGGCTACTTCACAGCATGTGCTATTTCCGATGCTTGATGACGAAGTATGACTCACGTAACATTCAACTTGATTTCAAGCGTTCGTTCAGCAAAACTTGCTTTATGCCCATGTAGATGGTTCAATATTGATGAACCTTGGTGATACGTCGCTGCAGTAATGATGCCTAGGCAGACAATCATACCGGACGGAGCACTGAGCCTTACCGGAGTGTTCGATCCACAGTGGATTTGATCGACAAGAAGACAACATAATGACAAAACCAAAAAACGTCTTCACTGATGTTGCCATCACAACATTTCACCGCATAAGTATTGCGCGTTTGAATCGTGTAGGGCTTTCTGCATCTAGCATGCTACTGCCGCTGCTGGAGTCCCAGCAATTGAATCTGGTCTTTTGTGAGGCTCAAGCCGGCTGCAGCATCTGCGTCTGTATGTCACATGAAATGGCATGTCCCTGTACAAATGAGCGGTAACAATTTGACTCCGCTTTGGACTTTGCCTGTTACGAGCCACGCCGGTGTGGGTTGCAAAATCCGCACGGCAGCAGCTTCCTTCCTCCTTGACCATATATACATTGTGGAATGTGGAATGAATGACCCTTGGGCCTGATGTATACTGCAAAGTTCTCAGGCAGGTCAGGAGGTGTCGCAGAATTTGTTGATGCGCTTGCCGTCGTTGTCGCAGTGGGAGTAGAAGTCGTGGCAGGCGCCGATGTAGTAATACTTGCGCTCGTCGTAGTTGGCATCGTTGTAGGCATTGGCGACCTGAATAGCATTCGTTCGCAGCAGACAGCGAGGACGGCTGACGTAATCGAGATCATAGCCGCTAGGAGAATCAGCAGGAGATCATGGGGCTCCAAGGTGAGGCCCGCAATAAGGAGTGTAGGCTGTGCATCCACTGTCGGAATCATTGACAGGGCCGCGACCACGCAGAATAGCTTATTATGGAGGAGAGCAGCACTGGAATTCCAATGAACCAGGCCTTCTTGGCGTCCAACGGCTTGTCCTCGGCAATGAGGTCGTCCTCGGAGAAGTCGGCTGAAGGTGGCAGCCTCTTGAGTTCAAGTGGGTGCCCAGTGTTCCAGAACTTGATACAGCCAGTGGTAAGCCACTGCGTAAGGCACTCAGACTGCATGGGCTTCGTCAGAGCATCTGCAGTCATGCACTCCGTGGGCGTAAGAATGACCTACCGGATCTGGCCACTGGCTCTTACCTCGCGATGAGCCAAGATGTACAGCCTCTGGGACTTGTCCTGAGGCAGACTCTTCTGGCCCGTGGAAAGCTCCCAGAAGTCCTTCGCATTGGCGCGCGTGTCGACAGGGAAGTGCTTGCATCCTTGTTCCTGAATCGCCAGCAGCTGGTTGATCGTAGGCTTTGCAGCAACCATAGGTGACTTCGGCCAGCCGCGTCGGACTCCAAACCATTGATGGCCGCCAGCGTCTCACCATGTGACGTAGAGTAACTCACACGCTTGGCCTTGTTGGATTGCACGTGTAGAAGTTGCGCCTTGCCGGACAGGCGAGCGGTGCAAACTCCTCGGTGGTGATGACGTGGTTGGAGTCCACGTCCAAGTAGTCAGCCATGAGAACGACGATTTGGGAACCCGAGGTTCCTGTAGTAGACTGCAGCTTCCTTGTCGCGCTGCGCCCGTGCCACCAAATCGTTGGCATCTTTGAGGCGCTTGACCTTCGCGCGATTCATGACGCCTTGCAACATGGAGAGATCTGCAAGAAGGTCGCGGCGTGTAATGCCCGTGCACATCAAAGCACCGATGGCTGAGCGTAGGTTGGTAAGCTCGGCCGGAGTGAAGTTGCGGCTTGTCGTCCTTCTTCACGATGATGGGCTTCAGCCTGGTGACATACTCCCGCTGATCCACCATGACGCCGTCCTTGACTGCTGAGTATCGGCATCCGCAGTGCACGAAATGAAGAGTTTGTCGACTCAACTTCCCGAACTTCTTGATCATCATCTCGAAAACTTCGTTGAGCCACTTCATGTCACCCTCTACGGCCAAGTCATCTACTGGAGCATGGCCGTTGCCCATATCGCTGACTGGGTCGGTACCAGAAACAGTCATCAAAATGAGACTGCTGTCCGCCCATTTGTTTGAAGTACAAGTACTTGCGGAGGTAGAACTGCCACACCAGAGGAGCTTCCGAAAGGCCATACACAGGCTTGAGACAGAGGAGCACAAACTTGTGGATGTCCTCTTCACACGATGGTCATGGGCACTCTTCCTATGCCATGCCATACTATGACATCGACGCCCCGGGTATCCAAGCATTCACCGGCGCGGATCAAGTCAAGCCGACGATCTGCGAGCGAGCTCTACGTCTTCGACAGCTACTTACAGCTGCAGCTCAGTCCATTTCCGAGGACGGCATTGCCCGGGCTGGCCACTCAAGACCCCAACGACTTCCCACGGAAGACATGAAGCCAGGCTTCCCGGAGATCGAGTTTCACCGTGAAGATGCCGACGGTCTTGGATGGCGTGGCCCCGGTCTTCTATTGAAGCTGCATTTATCATGGCTCAGAAACTGTGGAATATCAAGGAAGACCATATCTGGCTCCTATGAGGAGCCTCAGAATTTTCCGTGGCTCCTACTACGCGAACAACAGCACTGCTGACGACAAACGACGTGAGTATTACTTCGACTCCTGGATTGCCTTGACGTTTGATGGACAGCGTGGAAGCTTGTGTTCCACACAGCGTCGACACGTTTGGCCATCTGCGGAACAACCACGGCAAGTGGACTACTCTGCCGAAGTCCATGGGCGAAGAACAGCGAAGAAAGCTGATGGACGACATCGTTCTTGCAGCGCGGTTCCTGACTGATAGACCATGTCACATGTCATGGTATGCACGGAAAAGGAACACCGTCCGCATGTCCATCATTGATAACCCGACCGGCAACGACATGTCTACGGCATCCGTTATAGTGAGTGACAAGGAATCCATGCGCTACATTTACTTCTACAGCTACGACCCTGACTTTGTGGAAGCACCAACATCGACCTGGGCACCACGGGGGCTTCCCATGGAAGAGTCACCAATTGTGCCCACGTCGCCTACTCCTGCACCACCGCAACCAGAACTTTGAAGGCATATTCTACATGTAGTCGAAAGGCTGGTAACTGGTACATTGACCTCAATGCGGGCAACATCTTCCGAGTTGGCACCGCGACCGACAACATCGAGGAGCACCAAGTGGCAGACATCCGGCCACAGGTGGGGGGAAGCGGATCATAAAAAGACTTTGGCCAACTCGCCAACGAGAATGCTTTCCGCGCTGTCCGACGAGATGAGCTTGGCACCGTTTGTGCCAACATTGATGCCATCTGGGTGAGAAAGTGGAAGAAACACCAACCGGACGGACAATGAAGAGCCGTCTGTGTGCACGTGGATGCCACGATCCATGGAAGCATGAGTTCAGCAGTCGATCACCAACAGCGACTCGACTGTCGCAAAGGTTCATCCTGGTTTCGGCCACCAACGGAACTGGGATATCTCTAAAGAGCTGGGACATTGCAGGCGCTTAAGAACGCTGGAAGGCACTCAAGGAGTTGGGCGTGCAGTGCGTTGAATGTATGATCGCCTCGTTCCACCGAGGAACATGTGGAGACACTTCAAGAAGCTCAGCGCCAACATCCGAGAGGCACCAATGTTGATTGAGACATTCTTGGCAGAACTCGCCTCTGCCGCGATGTTTCCAGGGCCCACATCCAGACCTTGTCGTTCCGCCGGCGGTGGTGTGCTCGCCTTGGGCGCGTCCACGGGTGGCTCTTGCAGGCGCACGCTCGATGTTGAGCCTCTCGAACTCAGCAGGTTCTTGAGGGTCACCATGTCGGTGGCCGAGAACTGCATGTCCTCGGGCATCTGTGGATCTTCATGTCATCCAGGTTCGGACGTCGCATAGCCTGCTGCCTGAACTCTTCGATCATTTAGTGCGGTAACTGCGTTGCGCACGTGAAGCTCCGGGGTCCTGTCCCCTCCCACGCTTGCCCCCCCGGCACTGCAGGACAGGGGCAAGCTTGTCAAGATGGGGGCTGCGGGTGACCTAGGAGCACCAGCTCTCCCCTCTCAGCTGAGGGTCCACGGCAGTGGGAACCCTTCGTCTCTGGATGTGGGGGGAGGTTGAGGGCGTGCCAGTCAGCGTTCCGGCTCTCCCCTCCGCTTGCCCTTTGCCTGCCTCCGCCTGGTCTTCCCAGGCCACCGTTCCGAAACGGTGTCATGTGGGCCACGCCACCACCACGAGGGCACGAGCCGAAGAGCCTGTCGTGGGTCGCCAGACCGAGGACGCACAGGAGGAACTCGTAGAGGATGTTGTCGTGGTCGCAGGCTCGAAAGCCGCCTTCGTCGCAGTCGCCGCTATGGCGGCGAGTGCAGCCTACAGCTGGAGCAATCAGCTCCGCTACCGGAATTGAATCTGGTCTCTTCTGTGAAGCTCAAGCCGGCTGCAGCATTTGCGTCTGTATGTCATATGAAATGGCATGTCCCTGTGCACGTGAGCGGTAACAATTTGACTCAGTGAAGCCTCAAAGCACAGTGTCAAGCGCTGCAAAGCGCTGCAACCGAAAACTCAAGGCTGAAAAATCACGAAAAAGCTAGCCAACTTAAGATAGGTCATAAGTGACACTGACACTGGTCAAACATCATCCTTTTCATGCTTAAGCTTCATAACATGGGCATTTAGCATTTCTTCGTATTGTTGATCATTGAGCAATCTGTCATCAGCCAGGCTCTGGGCATATGAGCATGAACCATTGACCATGCGGTTCATCTGCCCACATAGAATATTGAATGCGTGCCGAGTAGCACAAATTTTGGGTTCGCATCGAGTAGCTACTAGTATAAACGTACTCCCGTGTTTAGAATGAGAATGTAAGGACATTGGACCCTCTTCTGATTTTGAACTCTCTACCTATAATTGGTACTGTAACTAGGGTCCATCGCCCTCGTTTGCCCCACTTCTTCTCCCCACTTAACTGTCGCTCAGGTCTGCATCGTGCCGACTTTGGCTCGCGTGCATGCTGCCAGCCCATCCATGCCCAAACCAAACTCCGTCCGTTCACGCGCAGCAT